AGAAAGAAAGAAAGAAAGAAAGAAAGAAAGAAAGAAAGAAAGAGAAAAGGAGAGAAAAGAGGAAAAGAGAAAGAGAGTGAATGAGAAAGAGTAAAAGAGAGAAAGGAGAGACAGAGAGAGAGAGAGAGACAGAGTAAGAGAGAAAGAAAAAGAAAGAGGGACAGAAAGAAAAAGGAGAGAGAGACAGAGAAAGAAACAGAAAGAGAAAGAGACAGAAAAAGGAGAGAGAGAAACAGAGAAAGACAGAAAGAGAAAGAAAGAAAGTAAAAGTATAATACAGAGAGAGAGAAAGAAGAAAGACAAAGAAAAGGGGGAGAAAGAGATAGGAAGAGGAAGAGGAAGAAGAGAGGAAAGGAGAGGAAAAAGAGAAAGAGAGTGAATGAGAAAGAAAAAGAACAAGAGAGAGAGAGAGACAGGAAGAAAGAGACAGAAAGAAACAGAAAAAGAGAGAAAAAGAGACAGAAAGAAAAAGGAGATAGAGAAAGAGACAGAAAGAAACGGAAAGAGAAAGAGAGAAAAAAAGACAGAAAAAGGTGAGAGAGAGAGAGACAGAAAGAAAGAGAAAGGAAGAGAAGAGAGGGGAGAAAAGAGGAAAAGAGAAAGACAATGAATGAGAAAGAAAAAGAGAAAGACAAAAGAGAAAAAAAGAAAGGCAGAAAAAAAGGAGAGACAGAAAGAGAAAGAAAAGGGAAAGACAGAAAAAGGAGAGACAGACAAAAAAAGACAGAGAGAAAGGAGAGACAGAGAAAGACAGAAAAAGAGAGAAAGAAAGAGAAGGAAAAGAAAAAGAGGAAAAGAAAAAGAATAGAGAGAAAAAGGAGAGAAACAGAAAGAAAGACAGAAAAAAGACAGACAGAAACAGAGAAAGAGGGAGAGAAAAAGGAGAGACAGACAGAAAAAGAGACAGAAAGAATGACAGAAGGAAAAGAAAGAGGAAAAAGAAAGAGGAAAAGAAAAAGAATAATGGAGAGAAAAAGAAGAAAGAGAGAGAAAGAAAAGGGAGAAAGAGAAAAGGGAGAGGGAGAGAGAAAAGGAGAGAAAAGAGGAAAAGAAAGAGACAATGAGAAAAAATAAAAACAGAGAAAAAAAAGAAAGAAGAGGAGAAAGAAGAGACAGAGAAAGAGACAAAGAAACAGAAAGAGACAAAGAAAAAGGAGAGACAAAGACAAGAGAAACAGAAAGAGAGCGAAAAAGAAAGAGAAGGAAGGGAAAGAATAGAGAAAGAAAAAGAAGTGAGAGAGACAAAGAGAAAAAGGAGAGAGAGAAAGAGAAAGAAGGGAAGAGAGAGAGAGAGACAAACCATAGTTAAGCTCACAACAGACCCCCTAAAGAAAAATGCATCCATTCTGCCTCAAAATGGTTCAAACCAGACCGTTCTATGAGAAGAACAATTCACCAGCGGAACTGCCCGCCACCAGAAGTCGGGCTGCTCCATCGCTGGAGGTTTTGAAGAAGAGACTGGACAACCCTCGGTTCTGAACAGTCCAGGGTCCCCTGCTCAAGCAGCAGGTTGGACTAGATGACCTCTGAGGTCCCTTTTCCAGGAGAGTTTCCTGGGTATCTTTTTTGAGGTTTGGCTTGCGAAAGGATGGCTTTGTCACTTGTTGTGTTATGCAAGATTTGGTTCCAGGAAAGGGGACAAAGTCCGTAACCTTTGTGTGTTTTTGTGTGTACTTTTGTGTGTGTGTTTGTCCGTGTTTGTGTACTTACGCCACCGGCTTTGATCTGGCAATTCTGACTCCTCCATTGATGTTTCCTGCAAACCGTTTGGACAAGGTCGACTTCCAACTCGATGTAGGTGCCCATCAATAACTCCTGGGAGGAAGACAAAATGTTCAAATGGAAATTCAAATTCAAAGCCAATGAAAATTTATATTAAAAAGCCAATAAATATTCACTTCAAAGCCAATGACTACATGACTTCCTTTCCGTTATACTAGCATTCTGTCAAGAATCTCCTGCTTGGGCAACGGGTTGGACTAGATAACCTCCACGGTCCTCCCAAATCTGCCATTCTATGAGAGCAGCTGCCAACAGCTGCAGCTTCCCTAAATGGAGCTTCCCTAAATCGCAGCAGTCTATCTGACACACACACACACACCCGGCCCAACTCACTTGGTCCCCCCTCCCCTCCCTCCAGCGGGGACTTTCCCCGGGGCGTTGCCCGGCGATCCGGGGGAAACGAAACCCACGAGTGTCTCTCTGGAAAGCCCAACTTTCCAAACGATTCCCCCTCCCTGCCCCGCCAGCCCGGGGGCTGTCAATCAAGGCGCGCGGGCTGTCAATCAACCCACTTTCAAGCCTGATGCTTAAGGAGGGCTGAAGCCCCCCCCCCAACACACACACACACCCGCCACGTGGGTTGGGGGGACCGTGGGCGAGGGAGGAAAAACGGACCTTCCGCGGGTGAAGCTCAGGAAGGGGGCGGACACGGAGAGCCCCCTCCCCACCGCGGCTTAATCTCCTCCCTCAAGTTCCCCCGGCGGTCCGTCTCCTCCGTGGAAGTCCTCTAGAGGGGCTCCCCACGCGTGCTAAGCAACCTCCACGGACCAGGCTCGTGGGACGAGGGCTAAAACCCCCACCAGCTTCTCAGTCTCCCTTTGGGACCGCCGTCCGGGTGGAGTTCTCCTCCCCCGTGGAAGCCCCCCCCCCCCCCCCCCAAACTCCGGCCCGCCTGACCTCCACCAATTCCCGGACGGCCTCCCCACGGAAGGCCGCCTGCACCAGATTCCGCCCGTGGAAATCCTCCAGGACTTTCTCCAGCCCGTTTGGCGGCGCGGCAGGCCGGCTGGCCTCAATGAGGACTAGCAGCAACGCGCAGGGCAGCGCCCAACGGGACATCGCGAACCGTCTGGGGTGTGTGTGTGTATATGTTTGTGTCTGTGTTTGTGTCTGTTTGTGCGGGGGGTTCCCTTGAGCTCCTCCTCCCGCTCCCTTTGGAGCTTCGGGGGGTGGGGGAGGTGGGTCCAGCCCCCCTTCCTCCACGCCCCCTTCGGCTCCGTTTGACTGGGCTTTTATTTATTTATTTAATTTATTTATTTGCTCATTTATTTTATTAATTAATTATATTTTATTTTATTAATTAATTTTATTTGATTAATTTGTTTTATTTTATTAATTTAATTTAATTTTAATTTAATGTTATTTATTTATTTATTCCCCCCCCCCCCCCCAGTTGCGAAATCTCCGCTGGGCTTTTCCGAAACTCGTCAGCCCGTTTCGGGGAAAGAGGTTTCTCGCGTGACCCGTTCTGGAAGGGGAGGAGGGGAGTTCGTTAGAGCTCCCCCCCCCCCCCCGAATGTCCGGGGCGGGCGCCCCCCCCCCCGGGGGGGGGGGGGGGGGGGGGGGGGTGGGGGGGGCAACGGAGGCTGCCCTTTCTCTGTCAATGGGGGGGGGGGGGGAGTAGGAGCGTTTCGGACTGGGTTCGAGGTTCGGGAGGGACCAGTATCCAGGCACCAAAGACTGTCAATTGAGGTCCCATTTCCCAGGCTTTAAGGAAAGGGAGGACTTCAATTCCCAGAATCCACTGGGGGCAAGGGAAATAGCCTGGACTTCAATTCCCATAATTCCCCAGCTGAATTGGAGTTTGTGACTTCCCAAGTGCCATGTGGGTGGATTTTGACTCCCAGAATGCCCAGCTGGTGGACTTCAACTCCCAGAATCCCTAAGCCGGCATGGACTTTGATTCCCACAAGCCCTCAACTGGTATGAATGGACTTCGACTCCCAGAATCCCCAGCTGGACTTTTTCCAACTCCCAGAATCTCCAGCCAGCATAGATGAGCTTTGACTCCCAGAATCCCCAGCTGGTGAACTTCAATTCTCAGAATCCCTCAGTCAGGATGGCTGAACTTTAACTCCCAGAATGCCTCAGACCGCTGGGGGATTCTGGAAATTTATGGCATACACCCCCCATCTTAAAGGCTCTATAATCGTGAAATTATACCATTAAAATATACCATATACCATTAAACACAACAGAGAAAAGCTGAGCTACATGGAGCAGCCTTTGGATTACAGAGCCCATGATTCCCCGCTTCGATGGCCACAGATCGAGGTGACGGGGCCTCATGGGGCCTGCAATCCAAGGCAAAGCCTCGCTTGGGAAGCCTGCGGCCTTCTAAGCGCCGAACTCCAATTCCCAGAGAACCGCGCGGCGAAAAGCTTTTCTGGGGGTGCGGTCAAGGAAACTAAACAGCCATCGGGACTCGCCGGGCAATTCTCGCGAGATTTGTCTCCGAGCTACGGGGAAGGGCAAGAAGTTGTCTGTAAAGAAAAATCTCCAAAGAGCACAGGTTCGCCGCTCTTGCGATTCGAAGAACTCTCTTTCCCGTCAGGCGGCGCGGGTGGCGGGTGGGGGGAAATGCCTCTATAGAGTAGGCCTGTCAAACTGGCAGGATGCGTGACGCAAAGGCTCCGCGAAGACCAAAAAGTAAACAAATGTCGCGAGACCTCGCCGGACGTCACATGAGGTGATGGCGTTCGCCTCCCTCGCTCCGTGCTCTAAAGGGAATCCAATGCGCGCGCAAGCGAAAGGCGAGGCAGGCGCTATCTCGAGGCGTCACTTCCGCTTCCTTCATCCGAGTCATTTTGTTTATTTTTTATATATATATATGTGTGTGTGTTTGTGTGTACATATGTATATATAAATATATAAATATTATATTATATTATATATATATATATATATAAATTTAAAAAAAGCCTCGCCTCTTCGGGCCGAATAAGAGAGTGAGAGTGCGCAGGCGCGGGCGGGGCGAAAGGGCGCGCTCGCTTGACGTCACGTCGTGAGGTCAGCGTCTCGGCCCGATGATGCGTCGCTGACGCGCGACGCGTCCGCCACGGGGCCCGGACCGTCGCCCTTGTTGCTATGGCGACCCCGCCCGCCGGGTCAAGGGGTCACGGCGCGGCCTGGTGAGCGAGGGGGGGTGAACTGGCGTCTCGGGGTGGGGTGGGTCCGTGGGGTGAGGGGGGGGGCACGTGGCTGGAGGGAGGAAAAGCCAGGCCCGGGTGGGGTTCCCTACGACGGTTGGACTGGTGAGGGGCGTCGGGCCTAGGAGGGAGGGAGGGAGGGGGCTTTAGGGAGCAGGATCCCCGCCTCAAATCCAGCCAAGGAAGGAAGCTTCGCCTCCCCCCTCCAACAAAAAGGGGAGGGGGCGTAACAGGACGGGGTGGGTTTGGATTGGGGGGGGGAAGCTGGATTTGAGGCGGGGGTCCTGCTTCCTTCCCCCCGTCCCCCAAGGGAGGAAGAGCCTCCATTTTGAGGGAGGGGAGATCTGGCCTTGCAGTGACGCCTCTGACCCCCCTCCCCTGGAGTCTTTCTTCGGGGTGGGAGCATTACGCTATGGTGGGGTCTGGGATGGGGGGGAGGAGAGAGAGAAAATGAGAGAGAGTGGAAGGAAAGAAGAGAGGGAAGGAGAAAGTGGGAATGAAAGAGAAGGGAAGGGAAGAAGAGAAAGTGGATGGAAGAGAAAACGAGAGAGAGAAGGAGTGGGAGGGAGGGAGCGAACGAGAAAGTGGGAATGAAAGAGAAAGAAGGGAAGGGAAGAAGAGAATGTGGATGGAATAGAATGAGAGAGGGAGAAAGAGGAAGGAAAGAGAATGAGAAAGTGGGAGTGGAAGAGAGAAGAGAGGAAGAGAAAGTGGATGGAAGAGAGAGAGAAGGAGAAAGGGAATGAAAGATAAAGGGAAGGGAAGAAGAGAAGGGGGATGGAAGAGAATGACAGAGAGAGGAGGGAGGGAGGAGAGAGAAGGAAAAAATGGGAATGAAAGAGAGAAGAGACAAGAAGGGAAGAAGAGAATGGATGGAAGAGAGAGAGAGAAGGAGGAAGGAAGGAGAGAAAATGAGAAAGTGGGAATGAAAGAGATGAGAGAATGAAATGAGAATGAGAGAAAAAGAGAGAGTGAGAAAGGATGAGATTGAGAGAATCGGAGAAGGAGAGAGAAAGGAAGGAGAGAGAATTAAGAAAGAGAATGACAGAATGAAAGAAAGGAGACTGAGAAAGGATGAAAGACAGAAAAGAGCAAATGAGAGAGAATGAAAGAAGAGAATTGAGAAAGAATGACAGAATGAGAGAAAGAGAGAGTGAAAGAAAGCAGAGGATGAAAGAGAAAAAGACAAAGGAGAGAGCAAATGAGAAAGAATGAGAGAGAAGAGAATGTGAAAGGATGAAAGAGAATGAGAAAGATAGAAAGAAAGGTAGAATGAGAGAGAGAAATAAAAGAATCAGAGGAAGAGAAAGAATGGGACAGAAAGAAGAGAAGGAGAAAGCGACAGAAATGCAGAAGAGGGAATGAGAAAGGGAAAGTGAGGAGGAGAGAGTATAAGACTAAAAGAATCAGGGAGAGAAGGAGAGAAAAGAGAATGAGAAGGGGAAATAGAAATAAGAGGAGAAAGAATAAAAGAGAGAGAGAGAAAAGAAGGAGAAAGAGAATGAAAGATAAAAAAGGAGAATGGGAAAGAGAACTAGAGAGGGAGAGAGAGAATGAAAGAGAGAGAGTGTGTGTCTTGGTTTCCACCCAGTCTTGGTTTCCCTCAAATTCAATCCGGGATTGAACCCTGAACTTCAGCAGAATAACAGAAGGAGAAAGTTGGAAGGTACCTTGGAGGTCTTCTAGTCCACCTCACACACACACACTTGAGCAGGAGACCCCCAAACCATTTCAGACAAAGGGCTGTCCAGTCTCTTCTTAAAAAACCTCCCAGGATGGAGCACTCATGACTTCTGGTGGCAAGGAGTTCCTCTGGTTAATTCCATCAATCAGTCAATTGGAATAGAATTGGAGGTCTTGTAGTCCAACCCCGGTTAATTTCCATCCATTGTTTCTTGCCTTGGAAAATAAATTGACCCCCCTGTTCTTTGGGACAGCCCCTCAAATACTGGAATATTGCTTTCATGTCCCTTCTGGTCCTTTTTAAAAAAAAAATAGATTAAACTAAACTTTTTGGTTTTTTACTAGACTAAATTAGTCCCCAGTTTCAACTTTTGGTTCCCAGAAGAATTATTTCCCCCCACTATGTTAAAAGGGGGAAAAAATTAAGATTGGCTCAGGGTCACAACCGAAGAGCTGACAAATGATCAGCTTTCTTTAGCTCTCTCTTTCAAGTTCATTTTTCCTATTTGAAAATAATATATGTTTTCTTGATTTCGGCAGGGACTTCCCAAAAAGCTCGAAAGAAATGGATTGAAAAATAAAATAAAATAAAATTGATTGCTCAACACTGGGAGGAAAAAAAACTGCTCACTATTTCCTGGAAAATTCTCCCCATGGATGCAAATTAGCCAGGTAAGTTGGAAAGGTGTTTCTTTGATGGTGGCCTCAAGCATTTCCTCTCTTGTTTGTTTGTGCATATGTGTGTATGAGTTATCAAGAATAAAATACAAAACGTGTGTGTGTGTAATTATCGATAAAAACAAAACTATATAAATATAATTTATCAAGAATAAAATACAAAGCTATAAATTTATCAAGAATAAAACAAAATGTGTGTATATGTTCTATCAATAATAAAATACAAAACTTTTATCAATAGAAATAAAATACAAAATGTGTGTGTGTATACATATGTTTTATCAATAACACACATGTATAATTTTATCAATAAGAATAAAATATCAAACTATAATTTATCAATAAGAAAAAACAAAACGTGTTTATGTTGTGTGTTTTATCAATAAGAATAAAATACCAAACTGTATGTGTATATATATATATATAGGTTTGTGTGTGTATGTGTATATATATATGTATATGTGTGTGTGTGTGTGTATATCATGCCTGCAATTAATATAAGCCCTATCCCTAAAATAAGACCTAATTTATATATATGTCTGTGTGTATGTGATGTGTGTGTATGTGTGTGTGTGTGTATATATATATATATATATATATGGTATTCATATATGGTATTCAGCTTTGTTTGGTTTTTTTCCCACGTCATTATAGTTGTGCTTTTAAAGTTGTAGCAACATTTCGGCAGAATCTCATCTGCCATCATCCGGCTTGTATACCGTGTACAAGCCTGATGATGGCAGATGAGATTCTGCTGAAACATTGCTACAACTTTAAAAGCACAACTATAATGACGTGGGAAAATACCCAAACAGAGCTGAATATCATACATACGTACATACATACACACACACACTTACGTACACACACACATATAACACACATCTATAACAATAAAATACAAAATATTGTGTGTGCATACAATATTTTATCAGCGGTATAAAACTATCAATAAGAATAAAATACAAAACTATATATAGTTTTATCAAGAATAAAATGCAAAATGTGTGTGTGTGTATATATACATACAATTTAAATACACACACATACATACACACATAGAGATAAAAATGAAATATATTTCACGCCTGCAACTTATATAAGCCCTATCCCTAAAATAAGACCTAGTCTTATTTTTATACGTGTGTGTGTGTGTATATATATATATATGTGTGTGTGTGTGTGTGTGTGTATACACACACACACACACATACACATGTTTATACGTACACGCACACACACACACATACACACATCAATAAAATACAAAATGTGTGTGTGCGTGTGCGTGCGTGCCGTGTTTCCCCCAAAATAAGACCCCATCTTTTTGTTTCCGAAATAAGTTCTAGGTCTTATTTTGGGGGGATGTCTTGCCCACTTATCTTAGGCCACACCTCCCATGCCCTGACACCGGGCCTTGGGAGGCCTGGTAAGCAGGTACAGGGCACATGGGGCAGCTCCCTCCACCGCCCCCATTCCCAGCCTAGCATGAGTTTTACACCTGCGCTGTGCCCCACCTAATGCAACCAGATGGTGAGGGTGGCTTAACTAGGTCTTACTTTAGAGATAGGGCTTAGTTGCAGACGTGAAAATCGGGCTAGGGCTTGTTTTGGGGTAGGTTGTATTTTGTGGGGAACACGGTGTGTGTGTGTGTGTGTGTGTGTGTGTGTAAATAAATAAAATGTTTTATCAATAGGAATAAAAATACAAAAAGAAACACCAAACTGGGGGGGGGACGGACATCACACACCCAACAGTAACAATAGCAAAGAAAAAAGCCAAAAAAATATGTGTGTGTATGTAAAAGGGAAAAAAATATGAGCCCAATGTCTGACACGAAACATGAGAAAATAAAAGATCTGCTTTTCTTTTCTGAAAAGAAAAATAATAATTTTAAAAAACCCCACCATCAATTCCCCTCCCTTTCACATAAGGGGTCCGAATAAATTACCCTGTCTCCCCGAAAATGGAACCTAATCTGAAAGTAAGTCCTCGCATGGTTTTGACACATGCGGCCAATATAAGCTCCACCCCTAAAATAAGTCTTAATTACGATCCTGCCCACTCCACAGTGGACGGGTAAAAATTAAGCTAGGATGGGGAGATGGCGGTGGAGCTGCCCCTACTACTTACCTTTGGACCGATGTAGCCAGGCCTTCCACACCCCATTTCCTCTATAGCCAGCAAGGCTTTCTGGAAGGCCTCTGGACCGATCCGGAGCTTGGTTCTCGGCTGCAGAGGCCTTCAGGAAAAGCCTTGCTGGCTGCAGAAGAAGAACTTCCAGAAGGAGGCTGGGGGCGATGCGCACGCAAGTGAGGTTAGTCAGCTGGGGACATCCCCCCGAAAATAAGACCTGGAAAGGTCTTATTTTGGGGGAAACGCGGTCTTAGAATGATGTTAGAAACTTTCTCGTCTTCATTCAACCAGAAAACTATCTTCAGAGGAGGGGAGTGTGTGTGTCTTAATTCAGCTAGTCCTCATCTTATGACGGTTCGCTGAGTGACCAGCGTTATGATTCCACTGGACAAAGGGACTTCGTTTTTCCCACACACACTTAATGATTGTTGCAGCATCTCTAGTGGTCAGACGCTTGAAAACTGACTCACAATTACGATGCTCGCAACCTCCCTCCCCTTTTGCAACCTCCTGACCGGCAAAGTCAATGGGGAAGGTGCATTCATTTAACAACCATGGCGAGAACATGAATGGGGCGGTAAGCAAATCGCTTCACAAACGTCTCACTTAGCAACATAAGGTTTGGCCTTGATTGTGGTCATAAACTTCTGAAATATATATATGTATGTGTATATATATATATATAAATAAATAAATAAATAAATATAAATAATATAAATATAAATATAATTAATTTTTACATATATATATATATATGTATATACATATATAATTTATATGTATGGTATTCAGCTTTGTTCAGGTATTTTCCCACGTCATTATAGTTGTGCTTTTAAAGTTGTAGCAACGGTGTAACGGTGTAAAGTTGTAGCAATGGTGTAAAACACCAATCAAGCAGAACACAGCAAACTCCAAGTCCAATAAACACAGACCAAGACCCCCAACCAGTCAGGATGAAGAAAAGACCATTCTGGCACAGTAGTAGGCTAGCACCAAATTTAAAACAGAAACGGCTGTGAAAGTCTGACTCACAGACGAACACAATACAGAAGCCTGATGATGGCAGATGAGATTCTGCCGAAACGTTGCTACAATTTTAAAAGCACAACTATCATGACGTGGGAAAATACCCGAACAAAGCTGAATACCATACATGTAAGTACCCGCGAAAACTTAAGAAAACATATATAATTTATATATATAAATATTATCATATCTATCTTCTCTATTATCTAAGTGTCTTATCTGTCATCTATCTAATATCTGTATCCTGTATCTATCAACTTTTAGCTAACTATCATCTATCATCTATCTATCATCTACCGAGTTTCTCCAACAATACGGCCTCCACCAATAGGAAGCCCCACCATGTTTTATTGGCATAAAATCAAATTAAGCCCCTCCCCCCAAATTAAGGCCCATATGAAACATGCAAAATGGGGGGGGGGAGGAATGGCGGGGGGGGGGGCTTGCCGTTAGGAAGTACTTTTGTTGCATGCCCGGATATGGTGCTGCCTGCGTTGGTGGGGCACTTCGTATCGGGAGACCTTCTGCCACCGCTGCTTTCCCTTCTCCCTTGCTGCCACGGCGTTAGAGCAACGCCGCGGTGTTTGGCGCAGCCACGTGCGGCCAGTCAGGGCTCCTCCCTGCAACCGGAGCCCTGAGGAGACACTTGGCTTCAGGCGCTCCTGTCGCCGCTTTCCCTTTGCCTTCGAAGGTAAAGCTAATTATTTTAAAAACGACGCCCTACTACAACAAAGCCTCCCCTGCACGAGAGGGCAGCCCAACCCCACATGGGGAGGCGAATCTCCCGGGGCCGCAGCGCAGGATCGGCCCACCCCGGGAGAAGCACCCAGCCGCCATCCCTGCCTGGCGCCGGGCAGAGCGCGAAGAGCTTCGCCTGGGGCGGCCAGCACAGCTGACAGGCGGGCCCTCCTGCCCGGCAGCAGAGCTCTCACCAAGGCAGCGAGCGCCTCCCCGCCGGGCCCTCCGCTCATCCCGCCAGGGCCACACCGGAGCCGTGCAGGCTGGGCAGAGCTGGGAAAGTGACCCGCAGGTGCGCACCCGCCTGCCAAGCAAAAGAGCCGGCCCGACCTGAGCTTGGCTTCCTTCCCAAGTCCCTCCAGCTCGAACCCAAAGGGGCCACCGGGAGAGGCCGCCCGAGGCAGTGATAGCGCCCACCCATCCATGGACAGGGAGGCAAGGCGACGGCCTGCGCCGCGTCCTCCTCCGAGCTGAAACCCGCCAAGTCAGCCCCTCTGCCTGATGCCCGTTCCGCTGCAGCGTTTGGAGCTGCCGGCGCATTTGGAGATGCTTGGGGACGGGGACGGGCTGGGCGAGGGGTGGAAAGGACGGGGGGCTTCGGGCTCTCTCCGCCGGGCAGGGAAGCAGCGCTGCCATCACCTCGCCTCCCTGTCCATGGATGGGTGGGCGCTATCACTGCCTCGGGCGGCCTCTCCCGGTGGCACCTTCGGGTTCGTGCTGGAGGGACTTGGGAAGGAAGCCAAGCTCAGGTCGGGCCGGCTCTTTTGCTTGGCAGGTGGGCGCGCAACCGTGGCTCACTTTCCCAGCTCTGCCCAGCCCGCATGGCTCCGGCGCGGCCCTGGCGGGATGAGCAGAGAGCCCGGCGGGGAGGCGCTCGCTGCCTTGGTGAGAGCTCTGCCGCCGGGCAGGAGGGCCCGCCTGTCAGCTGTGCTGGGCGCCCCAAGCGAAGCTCTCTGCCCGGCGCTTCTCCCGGGGTGGGTTGATCCTGCGCTGCGGCCCCGGGAGATTCGCTTCCCCATGTGGGGTTGGGCTGCCCTCTCGGGCAGGGGAGGCTTTGTAGTAGTAGGGTGTCGTTTTTAAAATAATTCCCTTTACCTTCGAAGGCAAAGGGAAGGCGGCGACAGGAGCGCCTGAAGCCAAGTGTCTCCTCAGGGCTCCAGTTGCAGGGAGGAGCCCTGGCTGGCCGCACGTAGCTGCGCCAAACGCCACGGCATTGCTGTAACGCCGCGGCAGCAAGAGAGAAGGGAAAGCAACTGTGGCGGAAGGTCTCCTGAACCAAAGTGCCCCACCAACGCCGAGATCAACATCCAAGCCGTCACCACCTGCCCACCCAAGGATGCAACAGGGGGGAATTAAGTCACCCCCGAAAAGCCGGCCTAGCCGTTTTTTCGGGGGTCAAAAAATAAGGCCCGGCCTTATTTTGTGAGAAACACGGTATCTAATCTAATCTATCATCTATCTAATCTATCATCTATCAATCTATCTATCTATAAATCATCTATATTATCTACCTACGTACCTATTTATCTGCCTGCCTGCCTGCCTGCCTATCCATCCCTCTATCCATGTATCCATTGTCTGTCTTTCTCCCAGCCAGAATACCAGCGGTATACAGGCAATCCTCGATTTATCACCACAAAGAGCCCCTCATTTCTGTCTTTAACCGAGATCTTGGTGAAGTGAGTTTTGCCCCATTGGATGAGGTTTTTTTTTGCCACGGTCATTAAGCAGACCTTGCAGTTCTTAGGTGAGTATGGCTCTGGTTAACAACCCTGATACATATAGTCCTTGACTTAACGATCCCAAGGTAATGGAACACGTCATTCAGCGAGACCCTGATTGAGTTTTGGCAATCTGTCTGGCCCTGGTCATTAAGCGAATCCCTATCATTGTTAAGCGAGTCCCATGGTTACGAAGGGAAACTAATTTCTCTCTTGACGTTGCTCGTCAGACGGTCACAAAAGGAAATTGCGTCCTCTCCCACCCCACCCACCCCCATCGTAAATAGGAACCTGATGCTGAACACCTGAATTTTGATCATGGGGATACTGCGACGTCGTGAAAAACCCTCCTCGGTCACTTTCTTCAGTCCCGTTGTAACAGCGAACCATCCCTAAAAAAACAGTGAGGAAAGGACCAGCCGTCAAAGGAGATTAAAGAGTTGTTATGCGTCAAATTCTCCAACTGGGAAGGCCCCTCGTGAGCATCTCTTGCAGTTGGATGGATGGATGGGTCTCCTTGAACAGGGGGTTGGACTAGATGACCTCCAAGATCCCTTCCAGCTCTGCATTCTGGGCTTTGTAGTTCTGGGCTCCAGGCTGGTTTCAGCAGAGGGATGTAGGTGTGTGTGCCTTTTTCCCCCCCCAGCAGGTGACGCTTGAGCTGGTTGCCCTCCTCCTCCTCCTCCTCCTTCTCCAAGGAGCTCAGACAACTTCCATCATCTCTGGATGTTGTGATGGAGAACTACGAGCTGGTGACCTCCCTTGGTAAGAGCTGTGCTGGGACCATGGGTGTGTCTGGATGAGGGATTTCCTGAAGAGGGGGCTCTAGGAACAAGAGGCTGCTGGGAAGGAACACAAGAAGAACACCCCACCTGATGATAATGTTCCGTAGTTGGGTCGTGAAATGTCTTCAGGCTCAGAGAGCACCAGGGACCCAACAGTCCTCCTCCTCCCTCCTCCCCCTCCTCCTCCTCTCATGCACTGATGATGTTACCTAGTTTGGTAATGAAACGCTTGCCAGGAAACGACCCAACTCAGAGAGCACCAAGGACCCCATAATCCTCCTCCTCAGTTGGGGCAGCTGGATAACGAAGCCAACCCCCTCCCTTCTGAGCCCCAGGGAAGAGGGGTCTCCCTTTGACCAGCTGCCAGGGATAAAGGGCTGGTTCCAGAGGTGGGATTTAGCCGGTTCAGACCAGTTCTGATGTACCGGTAGGAAAAAAAATATGGAAACCTACCGGTGGCTGGTTTGTCTTGCCCCACCTGTGACCCGTCATGTCGAATCTTTTCCAGGCTATCCGGTTCTCAAACCCGATATCCTGTCTCGGATCGAGCGGGTCGGAGAGCCGTGCGTGGGCGACCAGCTGGATTCCACCCGCGGGATTCCCACTGATCCATGTCCAGGTAATGTCTGCAGGGCTGATCCTATATACACCCACACACTCATACACACACACACACCTGTGCTGCCCAGGGTTCGGAGAGCACAATTATGTTTCATTTCCTCAAGGTTTCGTTTCCTGACTGCGCGCCAAGCCAGGTTGCTGATGTGTGACACACTGTGGCTCTTCGGGGGTGTCGAGCGACACAACGTTTTGGAAGTTGGGGGGGGTTGGATAGCCTTCTTTGGCCAAGAAGAGCCTTTGTGGCCACTTTGGGAGAGTATTTCCTCATCTTGGCTAAGTTCACCGGCAGGGGAAATCAATCCTACTATGTTTCCTTTGAAAATAAGACCGGGTCTTATATTAATTTTTGCTCCAAAAGACCCATTAGGCCTTATTTTTCGGTTAGGTCTTATTTTCAGGGGAAATACGGTACTCAATGCGTCCGTCTGGCTGACAATCTTATTTGGGGCTTATTTTCAGGGTACGGCTTATGTTACCAGCATCCTGGAAAAACTCATGCTAGGGCTTATTTTCCAGTTGGATCTTATTTTCAGGGAAACTGGGTACAATTAGAATTCAAAGTACTATAAATACTATAATTCTGCTCCCAAAAGCCCGCACCCATCTTTCGATTGAGTTGAATTCAAGGCTAGCTTGATCGTTGTGTTAGCTTGGTGTAGGGGTGAAGGTGCTGGCTTAGAAACCAGGACAACTGGGGGTTCTAGTCCTACCTTAGGCAGGAAGACGGCTGGGTGCCTTTGGGCCAATCACCATGAGAGTGGGAGTTCTGGTCCCGCCTTAGGCAGGAAGACGGCTGGGTGCCTTTGGGCCAATCACCATGAGAGTGGGAGTTCTGGTCCCGCCTTAGGCAGGAAGACGGCTGGGTGCCTTTGAGCCAATCAACAGGAGAGTGGGAGTTCTGGTCCCGCCTTAGGTAGGAAAGACGACTGGGTGCCTTTGAGCCAATCAACAGGAGAGTGGGAGTTCTAGTTCAACCTTCAGCACGAAAACCCGCTGAGTGACTGGGCCAGTCCCTCTCTCTCAGTCCAGCCCAGCCCCACCTCACAGACATGTCTCAAATCAGGGCTGCATTATGGCCTTGGTGGTACCGGGGAGATGAGCTGCCTCAAAGCACATCTCCTCCCGTCCTTCCAGAAAATTCCAGGAAGAATTCGCTGACTCACCTGTTGCTTTTGTGATCTCTTTCCTTCCCCCCCGCCCCCAGGTTACCGTTTCTTCAAACCTGAGAGCCTGTCTTGGATTGAGCGGTGGGAGGAACTTGGAGTCACCGACCGTCAGAAGTTGGAGGAAGGAAAACTCTGCGCTGGTGCCTGCCAAGGTATGGAAGGTCGGGGAGCGCCTCGTTTTAGGGTGGAGCAAGTGCAGGAATTGTTCTCCAGTACACAGGCAAATCAGTGCACATGCAAAGCAATAGAGAAAAGAATATAATACCAGTATAAGTGGGAAATTAATAAGATAATAAAAAGGATAAATAACAATACAGGGGCATCTTCGACGTAACGACCACAATGGAGCTGAAAATTTCTCGCGCAAAGGAGGCAAATTCAATTTTGCTCCAGTTTACTTCTGAAGGGTGGAAAAAACTGTTGTAAGTCACTTCATCCATTGCCATTGTAACTTTGAATGGTCCCTAAAGTTTGAAGACTTTACCTGTACTAAGGCCACACTACGGGTTCATATCCAGAGATAGATGGATTCAGGTATTATGGCCGAGCGGTTAGAGACGCTGAGCTAAAACGGGACGTTTGAGACCTGAGCTGCTCCGATGGGGTGAGTTCCTATTACCTGCTCCAGCTCCCGCTTAGCAGTTTGAAAGCGTGAAAGTGTAAGCAGATTAATACGTACCAGTTTGATGGGAAGATAACAGCATTCCGTGTGCCTTTGGCATATAGCCATACTGGCCACGGGACCCAATGGAAACGTCTTTGGATGACATTGGCTTCCTTTGCCAAGAAATGGAGAGGAGCGTCGTGTCTCGCAAGTCAGAAACGAGTGGACGGGGGAAACCGTTAACCTTTTACGTAGACACAAAGTCACAGAAAATTAAAAACAGAACGTCAATACACTTTTTGTCTTGGCGGCCCGGTGCAGGGGGGGGGAAGAGAAGATATTCTGTCTGAGTGACAGGCACATGAGCGCGCACGAGTCCATCGCTGACATGAGAAGTTGCACACGCGAGCATTGCACCTGTATATGCACTTGTGTCCTGATTCTCAATAGGCCATGGCGCAGTAGTGTGTTAGGAGTCGGGGACCCCTGCATTATTTAATTCCTTTCTGTTGTATCGCCCCTCCCTTTTTTTGTCCTCTCTGGAACAGCTGCCGGGCGGAGCAAAGCCATCAAGGAAGAAGAGGGTGGCCAGAAGGGTTTTGTGGCCAGCTTGGAACGCTACCAGCTCTTCCCCGAAAGTTCCCGGGCTGGTCTCTTCCTGGCCCCCAACCCCGGACAGCTGAGACCCCAGCCCCGGGTCAAGAAGGAGGAAGCGGCCTCCTGCGAGCCCAGTCTGGGTGGCCCTGGACGCCCCTCCCAAGGCCTGGGCTCAGGCCCCTTCACGTGCGTGGTGTGCGGCAAGTGTTTCCGGCAGAAGCAAGGGCTGATCACGCACGGGCGCATCCACACTGGCGAGAAGCCCTACCCATGCCTGGAGTGCGGCAAGCGCTTCCGCCAACGCCCCAACCTGCTGACCCACCAGCGGGTCCACACCGGTGAGCGGCCCTTCCCCTGCCTGCGCTGCGGCAAGCGCTTCAGCCAGAAGGCCAACCTGGCGGCTCACCAGCGCACCCACGCCGTGCAGGAGGGGCTGATTGCCCCCGAGCCCAAAGTGCCGGTGCCGCGTGGCAGCCGCTCAACAGAGAAGCCCTTCCCTTGCAGTGTCTGCGGGAAGAGCTTCAGCCAGCGGCCCAACCTAATCACCCACCAGCGCATCCATACCGGCGAGAAGCCCTTCCCCTGCACTGAGTGTGGGAAGCGCTTCAACCAGCGGGCTAACCTCATCACCCACCGGCGCATCCACTCGGGGGAACGGCCTTTCCCCTGCGCCACCTGTGGGCGGCGCTTCAGCCAGAAGGGTAACCTGGCGGCCCACCAGCGCACACACTCACAGCAGCGGCCCCATGCCTGCTCCTGCTGCCCCAAGCGCTTCAAGGGGGAGTCGGCGCTGCGGGCGCACCAGCGTACCCATCGGCAGGTGCTGGGGGCCGATCCGCTGACTAGCACCCTCCTGGCCACACCAGCTTTACAACAAGCCCTTCCTGGGGACCCCACTTCGGCAGCGCAGCAAGCCACACCGGCCCCTCGTCCGGATCTTCCTGGAGACCCTTCTCCCAGCGTCCATCGCCCGGCCCCGGCCGCCCAACACGGGGCGCCTCATGGGCAGAATCTTCCCGCGGACCCACCTCCCCCTGGCCAACACGCAGCCGGCCCCTCAGGGCACCTCCAAGGGGTGGCCTCCGGCCCGGAGCAAGGCCCAAAGCTGAGTGGCCCGCCCGCCCTCCTGGATCCCCACGTGGAGATGCTCCATTGCCAACGCCGGCTGGGCCTGCCAGTGCTGCCCAGCTCCAGCACCCACTCGGTTGTGCCCTTGGGGCAACCCCCGCCCGTCACCGCCAAGCCCAAGGGTTTGTCGGCAGCCCCTCGGCCCGCCGCCCCCGTGGAAGCCCCGAGCGAGATGCTTCACTGCCTCTGCCACGCCGGCCGGGCTTCCTTGGTTATTCCGCACCCACCACATCTGGGGCAACTTCAGCCCGGCACCCGGGATGCCCCTGGCCGCGCCTGGCTGGGCCTCCCCTGCCCGACACGTACCCTTCAGCTCCAGCAGGGCGGGCAGGCGCACCCGGCCGCCCCTAATCCCAGACTATGTTCGATTCCCGATTCTTTGCGGTAACTTCCCGTGCACGGGGCAAGCACCGATCGGCCGGGGCTGGACTCCCCTTGGATCTCCTTCCTCCCCCCCTCCAGCAGCGCCCTATAGGGCTGACCGTGGGGTTTATGCATGTATCCTGGACCAGGAAGCCCCCATCTGCCCCACCCTCCTGCTCTACGGAAGCACACGGACTCTCTTTGGATCTAGCCCACCTGTCTCAAGAGCCAATCCATCCTTCCAGCAAAGGCACTCTTTCTCCCCCCCCCCCTTCAAAAAAGTGTCAACATGGCAGCAGGACCAAAACCATGCCCACACCTCGTCTTACCACCGAGCCCCTCCCGCCAAATCTCCCTGGATGCCCCTCATCTACTCCCAAACAATGGAAGGAAAGACTAAGAACTTGGCAGCAGTCCAAACAATGAAGATGGAAGAGTGCCACCCACCGTTTTGGAAAACTGACTGAGGGCGGAACCCCTCAATAAACCCTGGTTGGGGGGCAGTTTCTTGTGCCCGGACACAACTTGGCACATCCCCCGATGAGGCGCCGCCCCCCGTGGCTTTACAAAGAGGTTCCTGAGACCCCCCCATTTCCCCTCTCATGCTTTCCTAAGAAAGGGGAAAAAAATGAAAGAACTCGTTCTGGAAATGTACCATTGGCATCACGTGGCCGCCATGACACAAACTGGACAGCCGAACTCTTTGCCAGCCTGGTGAGTGCCAGCTTCATGCCAAACAACAGGCCAGCCGGCTCCCTGTAGAAGTCCATCGTGGTGATGCAGAACTTTTCGGGGAGCGGGAAGGATTCAGATTTGAAGACATTGTGGAGGGGGCCCCTGCCTGGCATTCAGCTCTTAGAAGTATAATCAGTCTCCAGGCCAGAAAAGACACATTTGTTCCTCTCCCCCTCCCCACAAAGGAGCTCCCCCTCTTCCCAACAGCTGTGACTACAATGGTCTGACACTTTCAGGGAGCCGACACCAAAGAGGTTGGATTGCAGTGGGGCTGAAAGATGGGTGGGGTCCTCACATAAGGAGAGGGGAGGCCCCAGAACGAACAAGAAGCACTTTAGAACGACCCGATGGCCTGTCGGCCCCTGGATTTTCCCTCCTCTCTCGCATGGGACGGAACCCTTGCACAGGGCTGCTGGAAGGGAGAAAGCCGAAGTTGTGTGTTGTGTTATGAGGGGTCTGTGCCTTAAGCTGAAAAGCCTTCCCAGAGCGAAGATGGTTAAATGTTCCAAGGCGAGCATGCCAAGGGTCCGGGCTTAGGATGGGGAGGAAGGAGGAATGGCGACGGCCTCCCCTCCTCCCGCCAAAGTCTGCCAAGGATGCAAAGCAGGGGCGGTAGGAGGACTTTGGGCCCCCTCCCCTATCCCAGCTCCTCTGGGCATCCGACGCCTGTTCAGCTAGGCTGATTTTAGGGGCCCAGAGACAACACGGATTGTATCTGGGCAACGGGGAAGAGGTATCGACGGCAGTGGGTGCGTTGAGCATACAAACAATGGCGTGCGACAACCAGTTACTTGGGCGCGAATCCATGAAGGGACACACACCGTGCATGGGTTGGATGCAGGGTTGTGATGGTGAGGGGTTGTCGGGAAATTTGATTGGCACAAGCGGGCTGCCCACAGTCTGCAGCCTGGGTCGATGGAGGGTGCCTCCCATCGACAGCTGTGGAGAAAGAATCCATCCCTCCAACCGTGAGCATCCTTCCTCAGGGGCTCTTTCCCGGTGGGCTTTGAGGGGTACATTCTAACTAAGTCCTGATCCCGGGATAAAACCACCCAGATGTTGGGTGGAAACCC